ATCTGTTTTTATTATCATCTCTTAGATCTTGACCTCTGCACTATTTAAGTTTATCATAAGGTCATCAATGTGTCTGCTATAGATACACACCAAGCAAAACATGTTCATTTATAAACAACAGTAAACCCTGGATAAATTCCAGGGTTTTTCCCCATTCATAAAAGTTTTTTTACCAGTCCCTAGATTTAAGTGCAAGAATAAAGATTAAAGTGCTGATCGGGAGTAAAATTGGCAACTCTAAATCAGTTAATCAAAAACAAAAATATAGTAAGAAAATATGAAAGAAGAAGGATTTTTACAGTTTTCTTTCTCTCACCCCCCCCCCCCCTCTCCCTCTCTGTCAAACAAACAGACTTTAAAATGGAGCTTAAGACTCATAAGTATTTTGGAGTAAAGAAGTGAAGTATCAAGAAGAAACAAAATCAAAACCACGTTTTTATTCATAACCAGGGAATGTGAAATTTGACTAAAAGGGACTTAAACATGTCTACCACTTCATTCAGTACCACAGGTGTGCAAGAGCAGCCATGCAGTAAGAACATCTTAAACTGTACCATTCTCAGTTTTCCTTTAATCACTTGATTCTCCTGCCTTCAGCTATGCAGGGGCAGCCAAGCACCCAAAATTAAGTCCACTACCTGATATAAACACCCTCTCTGCAGCTGGCAGCATTCTTCATGCATGGGGAATTTAAATTTATTTTAGAGGCAATTTCACATCCACAGTTATTGGTCAGATTCTTTTTTTTTTGGTTCCCTTTTTACTAGTAGTGCTGAACTTGAAGTGAGGTTTGATCAAGTTTATCATGGTTTTAGGGGCAGAGGCAGACAAACAGGTGTGAAATTGACCATAGGCATCTATCACCTCTTAAATGTTTAACTTAATGCTTTTTCCCCCCAGTTTAATACTAGAAAACTAGCCCATGTCAACACATTGAGTGTTTTTAACAGACCCATTTAAAATCATTTCCTACACCCTACATGGCAAGCAGCTAATTTTTTTTCTAATACGACCATTATACTGGGGGAATATTTTTTTGCAGATAATAAAGTAATATAAAACGTGTGCTAAAGATCAGCTATAACTGATCCTGAGTGACTGGGATTACCCTAGATATTATGACTTTAGTCCGTGACAAACATTAGCACTGGCCTCATGCCAAAATGCCAGTTAATGGAAACAGAACCAGTTAACTTTTTTGCATGAGCTAGCTCCCTGCTTTGATTTATACAAACTCACCTATTTCTAACGAGGCAAAAAAAATTAAAGCACAGTACAGATCAACTGGCTACCTAACATTGGAAACAATTTTCTCTGAAAGAAAAGGGTTAACAGCCATTTCCAACACTGCCAAATATTTTCTCTATCTCCAAAACTGAACAATTATAAACCTGTTGCAACTGGAAGACACCTGCTGCAATATACATAACTTCTAATAAGTCACTGATCAAACTGGAATGACAGACTTTTGGACCTTAACACTCAACACTCAAAGGGCACTTATGCGATAAAAATCAGATAACAGCAAATGGCCTGCACTGTGACATTAAGCTGGTTCACATATTTCAGTGATATGACATTTAAATATTTACAAATGTCCAAGTGTTTCTATTTTTTCACTGACGGGGCATTTTGGAATTCTATTTATCAAAATGGTTTTATCATCCTGAAAATAATGAAATAACTGATTGCCTCGCGCAGTATACAAAATGACAAAGTGACAGAAGCCATGGGTGTGAAAAATGTTATATAAGTCTGCATTTTATAACTATAAAAAACTAAAATAACTGCAAAATGTAATGTTTTTATTTTTCATCTTAGTGGAATTTCTATTTCTCAAGCTACATCAAACATTAACAATCCTTTACTGTTCTCGCTCCACTTATGTTAAATTACTCTAAATCGGCTAGGCAAAAGGGAAAACTATATTGTTTGCATCAAAGGTTTTGAAAGTGAAAAAGCATCCATTCGCTCAACACTTAACACAGATAAAATCGAAGGCCACATTCTGCTAAAACAAAGTGAAACAATGAATTAAAAATTGTAGGGCAGATTCTTGGATAATCAGGAAAGATCTAATCAAAACCGCAAGTTACATCAGAACACCAAGCGTAACCGTCCCCTGGCAAAATCAGTTACGGCGACAGATGTCTAAATGCCGCCTGAGTGGATAACTTTAATTTACAGGAAAAAATATAAATTTAATATCTGCCAATAAACACACATTTCTTTAAAAAGATTATGGGGATTATCCACCGTCACTAATTTGCGAGTTGAAGCCAGTCGCTTACGGCTACGGCGATTGTATTTACCGTTGCACCGTACCTGTGTTCCTTTGCCCGCACCTGGTGGACCCAAAAGGACGGCCTTGATCCCTTTCCCTTCGTCCTGTGGCGTTGTTTCGCTTTGTTCTACCGGTGGCATGATGGTGTAGCTCCCAAGTGCAGAGAAAAACGAGAAATATTGCAGGAGAAAATTGAATGAATGACCTGACTACGCGAAACGTGGAGTATAAGGAATGAGACTGAGGCCAAGGTGAACGGACATGCGTACATGTAACTTCCGGGTCAAGACTGTGTAGATTTCTTGACTAATTTTCTAACCCTTTAAACATTCCAGCAACTTATACACCAATTCAAATAGATGTATTTTACTAATTCATACAGTTCATATAGAATACTAAATGAAAGTTAACCTTGTATCAGAAAACTCAATTTTGTCTAAAAATTGGGTCAAAGGTCACATGATAAGAAAATGTGCAAAATGGCGGAAGGGGAGTAGACTTTGTAAACTTTCTAAGTGATCAAGTTGTTATTTTGTGTTGATCTTAACTCTCAGTCAAAATGCATTTCTCTATCCCCGAGACACAAGATTGCAAAGATGAATCGGGATCGACGTACACGGTAAGTATTAAACTAGCGTTTTAATTGTGTCAGCGGAATTAAAGTTCTTGAACCTCGGCTTTCCTGGTAAATAAGGACACGGATGTCAGTGATGGTTTTATTGCGTTTGATTATTATAACTTTTTTTTTGTGTGGAAAAAATAAAACGGCAGAATTTGAAAACATTTTAGATATTGAGCAGTTCATTACTGCCATTCATGACTGAATCCGATTTAAACGTTTTCACTTTCATTTGTCAAAAATTACAGTGATTTTTCTCAGAATAAATACTGGGGTATTTGCGGTTTTGAAGTTCCTATTAAAGTGAATTGATATATAGATGCCATAAGCAAATAAATGCAAACAAAAAATGAATTATTTGAGTTATGACACATGGATTCACTTGTGCACACACACACTGACACACACCATTATTCTTATATTCATTATTATATGATATAATAATATACATATATCTTATATGATACATATATCATTTCCCTTATTTTAGGTATTTAAGATTCATGTAAATGGAGTACATCATTGTACAGTGAGATACAGTCAGCTCCATAATTTTCACGAACAGGTGAGACTGTTGGTTGTGCAGCTGCATTGGTATTAAAATATAATTGTTTTGTTAATAAGTGCTATTGAGTATTAACTTTAGGGAGGAAGACAAAAATATATTAAATAATATAATGAGATGTGCACAAAAGAAAAATAAAGTATGAAATGATGTTGCTCAATATTTTATTTATAAAATGTGTGTATATGATATGTAAAAGTAGGGGTCTAGTTTTGACTAAATATTTTAGTTTGGAAAAATTCTTCAAAACTTTAGTTTAAACTGTGTGTATTCCCCTTTATCAAGACCAAATAAGTATTAATTTCATTAGTATGCAAGTATTTGATGAAGAATATTATCTTATTGATGTTATATTTAACAATTTCAGATGAAAAAAGAGTTTGGTGCCAATTCACTCCCACAGTTCCCACCAAAGAAATTTAAACTTCTACAATTAGGGCCTGCGGAACTTGAAGAACGCAGAGCGCAGTTAGAGAAATACATACAAATAAGTAAGTACCTAGAAGTTCATGTTTACTTTTTGAATGTAGGGTATGTTTAGAGAAATAAATACAAATAAGTAAGTGCCTCGAAGTTCATATTTACTTTTGGAATGCAGGGTACAGCTAGAGAAATAAATACAAATAAGTAAGTACCCTGAAGTACATGTGTAGAAACATGTTTGCGTGTGTATGCAAAGAAGGCTTGAAATTCAAAATTGTAAATCTAACTTTTACATGTATTATATGTTTTTTATGTAGAAACTGAGGTATTACTGTGTTGTTGCTAACCCAGACTTATCCTTAATTTCTTACATTTTTGAATGGACAAAAAAAAACAAACATATTTTTATAAACATATTTATTTTTTGTTTATTTATTTATTTATTATTCATTTGTTTACCATATGTGACAAATAGAGAGTATGTGTTTTTCAGTCAGCCAAAATCCACAGATTGCAAACAGTGATGTTTTTAATGGATTCTTCCTCAGTGCCCAACAGGTAAGGGTGTGTGTTTTAAGGGATAATCATCCAAGTGAATTGTGTTTGGTGTGATTGTGCAAACTCTGCCAGATATTGTGTTTGGTGTGATTGTGCAAGCTCTGCCAGATATTGTGTTTGGTGTGATTGTGCAAGCTCTGCCAGATATTGTGTTTGGTGTGATTGTGCAAGCTCTTCCAGATATTGTGTTTGGTGTGATTGTGCAAACTCTGCCTGATATTGTGTTTGGTGTGATTGTGCAAACTCTTCCAGATATTGTGTTTGGTGTGATTGTGCAAACTCTGCCAGATATTGTGTTTGGTGTGATTGTCTAAAGGCTGCCTGATATTGTGTAAGATTTCATATTGCAAACTCTGATATTCTGTTATGTGATTGTGTTGGAAAATTTGAAAAACAAAAGTACCACTTGCCTTTAAAACAATTTAATTTTAAAATTGAAATGTCCAGCTTATCTAAAAAGGAAAAATTTGCACCAAATATGAAGGAGATTGCTCTCCATACACAGTGATGTCATGAACCTTGTCTGTTTAAATTAGGAAACGCAGCATGAGGAACCAGAGCGTGTTACTCTGGACGTGTTTCTAATGAACGGTCACAAAATAACAGTGAATATTTTGTCTACAGACCAGACAGAAGATGTTTTAGAGGTAGGGAACATTGTGGAGCACTTAGTTCACATCAGGCTTAGACTTGTTCTATGTCAGTGTTCACATTTCAAAATTGTGATTTTTTTTCTGATAACTTCGGGCGATTGCCGCCATTACCCATTGCCTTGATTATATTGACATATGATGTTAACGATGTTATTTTATGTTGGGTGCTTGAGAAGTTATAGAACCCTTGTTACTTGAAATCACCTTGTTTACTATTTCTGTTTTAAGTATTTTTGTTTTATAAGTAATTTCATTTTATGGTCACAGAAAATTATAAAGAAGATGACATGTAAGAATGAAAAAAAAAATGAATAAATAAATTTAAATGCATCAAAATATAGAATTGCCTTACGGTAAGAGGAAACCTTCGCTGTAAAATGTTGAACTTAACTATAGTCTTTAATTTCAGACTGTGGCTTCCAACATCGAACTGAAAGACGATTTTGTGTTTTATTTTGGTCTTTATCTAGTCAAGAAGGAAGGTGGAGAAAAAGAATTGTCAAGTAGGTGAAAGTTAAAATAGCTGAAAATGAGCCGGTGTTCACTCTAAAGTCTTAAGCAACTTTTAGCCAAATGCTGACCATATTCTAATTAAGTCAAGAAAAATGTAAAATATCTCATTATCTTACGTCTGATTGCTTCATAATTTGATTTGCTAAAAATATTTATTTTTAAGACTTTAAAAAAGACAGAAAAAAAAACATCTAAGGATGTAACATAACATATGTACTGTACTTTATCTATTCAGATTGGAGATTTTTTAACTTGATTTACTGATATAATTATGATATTTTCAATTTTTTATCATTTCCCTATATGAATAAACATAGTTAATATTGTATCTATCAACATAGATAACATTGCTTTAACCATCTTTTCAGTTATAAGAAAGCTCCAAGACTTTGAGTCCCCCTTCATTTCCCTAAAGGCTGCAAATAAAGATGGCGTCCATAAAATTGTGCTTCGTAAAAGGTAAGAATTTGTAATAATAAGTGAATGTTGTTAGTCATCCAGTAAAACAAGAATGATAGATATGAATAACTCTGCTACTGGAACTTGCATTATATCAGAGTTATTTATATTTATCAATTTGTAATGAACTTGATCTTGTCATGGACCTTTGTTGGAGATAAGATAATAATACAAGTACTCACTTAAAGTAATTATATGCAAATTAGTAAAATCAGCATTTGATATTCTTGTGCCTATGGCCCCATTCTGAATAGCGGACAGTTGACTCATACTGTTTGAATAATTGTATAATTATTAAATTCAATGTAATGTTTAAAATCAGAGTTGCAGAAATGGCTTCACTATTAGTATGATAAGATTTTAAAGATGAAAATGATAAAACATGTTTCTTGAAGGGAAAGAAAAGATTAGTAATTTGTCTTTGTTTTGCCACCTTTCTGTTTTTCTTTCCATCCATCCATTCCTTTATTTATTTATTTATTTATTTATTTATTTATTTATTTATTTATTTATTTATTTATTTATTTATTTATAAATTCATTTATTTTTTTTAGTTACTGGGATTCATCATTTGATGACGACTTATTAGAAGACAGAATAGCCATGAACTTGCTCTATGTCCAGGCACAGAGTGACCTAGAGAGAGGCTGGATCCACGCAACTAAAGAACAGATGAAACAGTTGACAAATCTTCACCAGAAGGGGTCTAAAAAAGAAGTAAGTTTTAAAAGTTACAAAGGAGATAAATAATTTTGTGTTTAAATTTTGTCAGGAAATGGATTAATAGAGGTTAAAGATAAAAAAAATGATGCTTGATCTTCAATTCATTTATTAATTTTAACCATAAATACTATTTCTCCTTCTGAATCACTGAAAATTAGCTATGAAACGCATGGAAAATGCATAAAATAGCCCTGTTTTACTCAAGTAAAAAAAATTCAAGTAAGGCTCTGTATATGAATTTTGTGTGGAAAAGGATAAAATAAATGTCTTACCCATGAACTTTCATGCTCTGTATTTTAAGTCTGTATTGAAACACATAATAAATAAAACACATTTTACTCCAGATCTTTTTATTTCTTTACAGTATCTCAGACTTGCAAGGACACTCAAATACTATGGCTTCCTCCACTTTAAAAAATGCCAGACAGACTATCCCCAAGATGGCTGTGCTGTTGTAGTTGCCGCTGGCAACAGGGAACTTAATTTTAGGATTCAGGTTTCAGAGGTTGGTATCACTGTCAACAATCTTGATTTGTTGTAGGTTAATGTGATAAGTTTATTATCAATTATTGATTTTGGCTGAGGTCTGCAAATCAACATACTGCAAAAAATGTAGTTAATGATTTATTTATGTAATGTAATTATACCTGAAGGTCAGAGTAACATCAAAAGTTGCAACATCTTCACATTTGACATTGTTGTTATCTCATTGATAATATGTGTCCTTTAGTCTGATTGGAAAAAAAATCAGCCATTATGAGACAATGTCAACTATCAATATTGACTTTTATCAGATCTTGCATTCCAGAACATAATATTGTATTCTGTGCTAATTTTTAGGATCAGCTAAAGGAAGGAAGTTTCAAGATCACCCGTATGCGGTGTTGGAGAATTACAACAACGGTAACTATTTCCATATACTACGTATACACTGCCATGATGTATTTCATTGCACCCATGGTTTTTGATGGTTAATATTCATTGGCGAAATCACTTTGTAAATAACATGACAAAATAGACCTACTCATTACAGATTCTGCAAAAAAAAAAAAAAAATTAACCTCCAAAGATGGTGTGAGTAGGAATCAACTGGCCCAAAGCAGAAATATTGGACAGTAACTAGTTCTTCACTATTCACTCTCTAATTTTATTGGTATTCAGCGTTAACATCCAATACTGACAAAACAGAACCTTAATTCAGACAATTTTTCAACAACATCTTACTTTGAACTACTTCAAACTGTATAGGCACATAGAAAAATCCCATTATTATCTTTTAGCTTCCTGAGGAGGAAAATGAAAACCCAACCGACCCAAAGCCCACACTGGAGATAGCTTTTGAATATCTGATGGCCAAAGATAGCCTGAAGTGGATCACCCTGTTCACAGATGAGGTGAGACTAAGACTGCATTCCCATAGATTTTAGATCGATCTATCCCCGTGGGGGGTCTCACTAGATTACTGTCAGATAATCCGGCTTAAATGTCCGTCCTGCCTACTACAAGCTGTAAGAGGGTAATTAACTTTCGTGCCTGCTCAGCTGACAGCTATTTAGCATGAACCCCCAGGGAGTTAGGTCGATCTAGTTTGGATTGATCTAATCTCTGGGAATGGGGTCTAAGAGCACATTCAGAACAGCAGACTAACAGATCCGCAGATCAAATATAGATTTTTTATGAACTTTGGACTGACTTTCATTTGATTTATTTGTTAATCTTGTTCAGTTATAATTTTACAGGCAATCCTGATAAGCATGTGTCTTCAAGGAATGGTGGATGAGCTAATTATGAAGAAACAGGGCAAAAAGATGAAGAGGGTAAGAAGCTGATCTTTTAATCAAGAAATTATTTAAATTTTAAGAGAAGAAGGGGCCATTCTGTGACTGTAGGAATTTGGGATATTTGAAGAGATTTATAAACTGAGTTATTGAAGGGATTGATAAACTTTTTCTTGTCGAACTTGGGACAAACGCAAATATGAAAAATATGGAGAAGTCATTTATGAAAGAAGATAAAAATGTTCATAGATGGAAAAAGACAATTACTGATACAGTAATTTCTTGTTTAATCCCCCCCCTCCCCCCAAAAAATGGTGATCTTGCTTGAGTTTCATTTTACAATGTTTCAATTGTTTTCCCTTAATGTTGTTTTGATAGTGATACATGAAAAACTAGTGTTCATCTTTATAAGTATGTTGATGTCATATTTATTCATAACACTGGACATAAGGCATATTTTATCACTTCATGTGAAATTAATTCACTTTGTATTGTTATTCTAATAATTTAATAATTAATAACTAAAAAAAATGTATACATACGTTTATAGCCACAAGATCGAGTAAAGAGGGCGCCACGTGCATACCTGAAAAGAGACGGTACAAGCAACGTCACATACAATGAGGCTGATGTAAGTATTTCGATACTTAATTAGAATTGTCTTGTACTGTGATCCTAATATTAAACGATGAAATAAGAATTTGAACCTATTCGAAACTTGTTTGGATTTCTTGATGACAAATAGTTACTTGATATTCAAATTTTGTAAGCATCTTCTTAGAAAGTAGCTAGTTGGTTTAAAATGTGCAATGTATTTGACTTTGGTATGAGATTGATGAATTTTTAATGACCTATACAAAGAAGCACATTTTTTAGAAGAAATGTGAAGCTATAGGCTATAAATTAAAGTTGAAATTTCACATGAACAGATTATTTGGTTACTACTCAGTTTGACCTGACATTGAAATATATTGCATTTGTGAATACTAATGTGACAATGATTGTCTATTTTTTTGTTATAGAATGAGGAACACACCACGAGTACTGCACAGAAAGCAAAGGAATCTGTGAAGAAAATTTCAGTAAGTTAATAACATTACTTAGTTGGAGGAAAAGGAAATAGTTGTTCAATAATGAAGTCATCTGGCATTCAATTGTAAGTTGGTGGAATTTCCAAATTTGAATGAAAAATATATTTGAAAGGATTCATTAAAGACTCTCTGATATTATTTTATATTTTATTTACATAAATATAATGGGTAAGACAAAAGCGGAATTCATTGGTAGGTACTTACTAGTCTTTTCAATTAAATGGAATTTTGAAATAATTTTTTTTAAATTTACACATAAAAAAGTTCTTGCAAACTGTTTCTAAAATTATTTGGTCTTTAATTTTTAGGATAAACTCCAGTCATTACGGACATCAGCTTTGGCGCCTGATCTGCCAGAAAACGATGCTTTTGTGGGTGGAATAGGTGATGACGACCTCTGATGAAATAATGATATTAAAATCTATGATGTCACAACATTTAGAACAGCAAAACCGGTGATGTCATAAGATTTTGTCTAGCAAAACCAGTGATGTCATAAGATTTTGAATTGCACTGAGAAGGTGGTCTCATCTTCACAAAAAAGGCTGATTTTGAAAGGAGGAATGAAGAAGAATGAAGAAAGTGAACATGGTTGTGATTGGATAGAAATCCTAGGAGGGATGAGACGAGTTGAAAAGTTGACTGAAATCCAGTAATTTAAGGGACCATAATATAATCAGAAGTCAGATGCATAATATCTGATCAAAAGCAATAATTACACCATTATGTTATATTATAACCATCGATATATTAAGATGCATGGCTTAGTGATCAAATTTTAAGATAGTTATATATCCCAGCCATTCCAAGTGCAATAATAAAATGGCAAGACACTGTTTCACAAAGTAACTTCAGCTCAAAAATTAATCTAAACCTTAGACCGAAATTTATCAACTATTATCTAGGATAAATCCGCAATAGTTCATTTAAATAAAATATTATGCATTGTTTATAACAAGAAAGACGTGGTTAATGTTTCAGTCCACTATTTACTTAATTTAAGTGGACTACTTAGGATTTATCAAAAACTGAAATGGACCAAATATTTGGCCTAAACTTTATGGGTCTAATAGTCCAAATATTGGGCTGAATTTGTCTTGTGAAACAGGTGGCAGGAAGTGTTGGTTGTGACACCCTGAGTTAGAGCGTTTGCTGGAAATGCCCCTTTGCTGTCAGCATACCTGTGGCATTGCTTTTCAGTTCCCAGATCTTCAGGGTGTATGGAACTTGATGACTACAAAACCTTGTACAAAAGTTGGGAGGGGGAAAATGAATATAAACCTTCTGCCAGAGTGTGTGGAACCGAATGTTTTCTGTTTGTGCAGTTTTAAATCAAAATATATCTATTTTGATGATTGCCTGTCAGCTAGCAAAAATTCACTCACACATTTATTCATTTATACTTCATGGTAAGTTCACTCACCTTTGAAATTTTCAGACTTTAACCCACTTTAGTGTTCTAATGTTTATAATCTTACTTCAAGAAACCAGTTGAAATAATCATTCATACACTGTCTAAAATTTCACTTGCCAGCAAGAACCCAAATATACATTCACACATGCAAACTTAGGAGATTATATCAGGTGCCTTAATGTTAACTTCGCATATCATCATTATTATTATCAAAGCAGTTTTTGAAACTCCCAAAGATTTCTGTTATATATTTATACATTTATCCTCAGTGTGTAGTTTCGTAGTGTTTCTGGAAGTATAGCAATCTGAGTCAATGGAAACTTGCCACGATAATCCCTGCGAAAATTTGTCTGTTCCAGGACATTCTGAAGGACTTCCAAAAACAGTTCTTGAACTGTTAGATTCATTACAGAACAACATTAGAACTGTAAAAAAAAAAATACACCAAATTTTCTAGAATAATTGAGAACCGTAAGTGAGCGTTAAATAAGAGAAATTTTTGCAGGGGTGGAAATGGCAGAGACATGCTCAGAATTGGGGCGAGTTTCCAGTGACGTTGGAAACTAAGGGTGGTTGGAAAATAGGAAAAAAATGAAGAGTGTAAATTTCAAGTCTAATGTCCACTGGTGCCATACAATATCATATTTGTGTTTGGTCATACTTAAGGAATGATTATAAACTATGTGTGAGAAGATTTTCTATTCAAGGTGGGCTTAGGGTTAAACTTAGGAAGTGTAGAACATCTCATTTTTATAGCTCAACAGTTGAGAAAATATTTCAGAAATAATTTGTTTCGGTTGAACTGATGCAGTTAATGTTACCACTATAAGAATAAGTATCTGAATATTTATGCAATTTTTAATAATCCCTCCAAATGTTACGCACTGATATTGTTATTATCATTGTTTGTTGAAGGTTTCTCACACAACTTTTATAAATAAAAATAAAGTTTTGTGATTCATAACCAGTATGTAACTTACACTTGCCAACAAATTTTTAAAAATCATCTAGAATTTATTTTATTTTTCAATGATTGAATGAATGGAAAATGTTAAGTTGGCTGCGGGCACATCATACTTATATGATTAAAAAACTTTCACCCAAATGTTTGTGAAATGTCATGACCTTTCAAGGTCAAGTATAAGTTGTCATCTTTGAAGGTCATCCTTAAATATTTCATGACTTTATATTACCTAAATGATGTTTACTCATTTGGCAAGAATATATTTGAAAAAAAAAAAAAAAAATCTCCGCATTGTAACTGTATGTTTAGACAAGGACTTCTTGAGACCGACTTGTGTACCTCTGTATTTCTTTGATTGTAGTTCACAACTGCACATGGCGTAGCTAAGGCTGATGTGTGGTCCAAAGTGCTCCCTGTCTAAACTGTTCTGCGCTGACCTCAGGTTTTCTGATAATATGAGATATTTCCAGTCCAAACCAGGTTAGCAACCAAGTGTGATATACGGTCCAAAGTAGCCCTTGTCTATACATGAGAGCCTTCAATATTCAAGAATAGAAAGTTATGAAAATTTCTTTGTTCAGATTTAAAATTGAACATGATATATATATATATATAGAATTGGCATAAGGATTAATTTTTTTTAAATATCAAAAGTAAATTATAAATTCAAGGTGCTGATTATTACTATAATAGAGGCATAATACTAGTATATAGGGCATGTATATTTTAAAAAATTGTCTCAGTCATCCACACTAATAGAAAACAGTTTATTCCTTGCAGCACTATCAGTATAAATCATATGTATCATAATGTCAAATATGTAATTCCTTATTCCACACTAATTCGTATAGTCGGGGTCTGGTTAGCATCTTCACATATTGATTTTTAGAGAGAAAAAAAAAAATACTTGCCTCATTACTATTAGGGAAACTCTGCATCACAGGGTCTATTTTAGAAAAAAAAATGTTTGAAAAAAATGGAGACGATGTCAATTAATGGCAAGGGCATTGGGAACAAGTTATGTAAATCACAAACAATATTTTATACTAAAAAGACTTTGCCTTTTCTGAAAAGGATTGATCAAATTCAAGATGATATTGGAATTTTGACTCCCTGAGTTTCAAACTGTTATCTTTGCAGCATGCCTCTGCCATATATATATATATATAAGGCTGCATTCTCAACAGGATACCTACTAGTCCGTGGATCAAATATGGCTGACCCACTTGAATGCTTGTTGCTTAAAGTAATCCCCAGGGAGAAACTATTGTGTCAATTAAGGGATTCAATGACAAGCTTTTAAGTAGGTAGCCATATTTGATCCACGGACTAGTTAGTCTGCGGATCAAATGGTTCTGAATGCAACCTCAGTGTTTTTTTTTTTTTTTAGTGTCGCTCTGAAACCTGGGTTAGAGCTCAATTATAGAACCCATGTCCATATTTAAATATGTATCTTGCACGCAGAGGCTATTTTTTATTCACCTCATAAGCACGCTTCATTTTCTGCAAAATCATTCAAATAAACATTTTTATACTCATTGCAAATTTGTATTTATTTTCTAGTAATTATGTATGTTGGAAAATAGTATGCTATATGTATATGCATTTGAGTAAGTTTTATGTCCAAACAAGTTAAACTTTTTCATTTGAAATGTAAAATCGACAGATGAAATGACACCTTTGATTTACATTAAATTTTTACAATGAAATTTTGGCATAAATTAGTTCAGACTCACAAGCTCTCATGAGTGTGTCCATTAAAACAAAGAAATAATATTTGCAAACAACCATTTCTGAGACAAAAAGACATTTATTAGAAATGAATTATGTACATTTTCTCATATATGTACACATGATGGCTTTATAACATCTCTGCTTCATAAAACATGACTAACCCATTTATCATCAACCAAAATAAAGAAGATGACAAAAACATGGATTCTAAATCAATTTACAAGCTAAAACATGAGAAATTTACACAATAAAATAATAAAAATAATGTACAAAAACAATTTAATATGTTTAGCAATTATTGCCAGGCCATGCTAATACTATTACACAACAGGATGGTTTTAAAAAAGACCCTAAATCACTTTTAAAACATGATATGTAGCTTTGAAACTCTCCTTTCACATTTGAAGAACAAAATTCTTCTCAGGTGACAGAAGTCAGCCAATTACACAACACTTTGTCATCACATGACCTTACAGTGAATATTAGCCAATCCAAAAATGGTTAATAAAATATATTAACCAATGAAAGAAGGGATAACAAATGACCAGAGACAGAAAGCACATTGGAATGATGACACATAAGGCTCAGGCCTATCATAACATAACCAAACAGTGAAAGTCATTAAGTAACCAAGATAGAAACATGGTTATTTCTTAATCTTATCGAGTAAATCACCTTAATAAATATTCTCCATTTTTTTAAAAAAGCACTGGTTGGCAAACCACAAAGTATTTCGATAACAAACTTGCCAACAAGAAACATTGGAGTGCCACAGTAGACTATCATGATAGGGAGTTCGAAATTTAATAAATAGACAACTCCCTCCATCTTCTTGAAGGTGGCACCACAGTAAAGGCAAGTGGTTGGCACTGGTACTGGTTATAATCTTTTCATTTGATTTAATTTAATTGATCTAAGTCATCACCACATATACAAAAGATATATATTCAATCCAGTCACTAGGATTTGGGACTAACTTTATAGTAAAAAGTTCCTTTACATTTTTTTTCTCTGCCTCATAAACACTTCAGAATCACTTATAAAAATACTGATGGTTTTGGAATAATTCTCTAGGAAAGGACCACGTAAGGTAATGAAACCGTCTTTTCAATGGGGGAAAATTGTAAATTTTGCTAATACTGTATTTTTTTAACTCATAAATTCATAAAATTAGAACATTCCTATTGAGTGGCAGCAAAAAAAGCAGACTATCCTGTAGTTCTCTACTATACAGTAAAAGCACCATAAAAAGCTGAAAAGAAATATATGTTTAATGATTCCAAAACTATATATCTGAAAGACTTAAAAATTTCCCCATTGAAAACATGGAGTCATTGCCATATTTCAGAAGTTTCTGCCAGCGTCTTATAGGCAAGACCAGTTTCTGCGACTTTCGTAAAAAAGAGAAATATGAAAATAACTTGTTTCAGTAATCAAATGTGCTTCAAAATCTTGTAAAAAATTAACATGATTGTCTTGCTGTCTTTTTAGCATTGACACTCCTATATAAACATGAAATTGTGCTTGAGCATTAAGGGTATAAAAACCCCCTTAAAAAAGTCTCCTGCCGTCAAGGCCTCTTCGAATAGTAAAAGGAGGCAATATAATTTTCAAAACAAATTTCACATTTTGGTTTCAAGTCTATCCTTCCAAAAACTTGCTTTCAAATCAGAGATGAAAGAGTACCTTAAAAATACCCTGTAAATGCAAACGCCACAGGATTGCAGCTCCATCTGGGGGTTGCAAGTGTAAGTACAACACCCATTTATCCAGATATATCCAGAAGACTCTCATCTCTACTCAAATGGGCTGAAACATGGTTTAAGACCCATTACTTTACATCTGTTATGTATCTGATATATCTTAACCAAGTTCAAACCTGAGTAAAACATAGGCCCTTTTCACACCCAGCAGTATACGTTACTAATACAACCCATATCAATAAACTTTGAGAAGTCCTAACATGCAATTATGCTTCATAGATTTCTACTCCCTTTGACAATTTCTCCACTAGTTCGCTTTGATTGTTTAGTTTGTAAATTCACCTTATCAACTTGTCCACCTCTCAAAGCGTATCGATACTGACTGTATCATTTCAGTATGGCACTCAGCGCAAAAAAAGGGCCCACGACTTGAAAACTAGATGGAAAAGCAGACATTTGTTTTTCAAAATACTTTAGAAAGAGTGTATCTTTGCAGTGCCTCTTGTTTTGTTTTGTTTTTTTTTTTGAGAGGTTTATCACCCATATATAAGTATATACTGACAGCAAATATATTCTGAAAAATAGCTATAAGCACAGATGAAAACCATCTATGTTATTTTTCAAAGTTCAAAGTCAATTTTTGAAACATATTTTCTCAATTCTTAAAATTTAAACTAGTCTATGTTGAAGAGTAATTATATAACACCATTGAAATCTTAAGTATATTAAAAGCTGTTGCTATCTATATCAAAAAGAACACTTAAAATGAGGAGCAAAAACCAATAAGTTATAAAGTATATCAAACTTTTAAGCTGGCCAATCAATCTGAAGCTTTGTTAACAGCCATAAGAAGCTATTCAAACTGGTTCGACCTTTTCTCCCAACTTCTATAGACCCTCCTCAATACTGCATTTCTTCGTGATCAAAATGTTTCCCTTCTCACTGTCGGCAATCTCCTAATTGATACCCTGCATAAGCATTATTTACCTCTTTTAAGCTGTCTTCTAGTGAAAAAATATGGCAATTTATTTTAAGTGAAATGTTTCTGTTCACTGCCATGGTACCAACTTACTGTTACCAATGACATGACCCTACCATGATTGTGCCATGACTGTGATTCTACCATGATACTTCACGGCTATAGCATGACATTTCATGATTATATCATGATATTTCATGACCAAACTACGACACTCCAAAGCCATACTATTCCACTCCATGACCATTCTCTTCAAAATTATAGATCATACTCACTGTCTGGTACTATTCATTAAAGACTTTCATGATGTCATGACTATGACTCTATGAGGCACACACTCACTCTACCATGACATTTTTTCATGACATTTCATTTCTATACTAATTGTGCTTCATAGAATTTTGTATAAAAAATTCTCTACAAAGTGACATATGATCCACCTATACCATGACAACTAATGTCATGATATTATCACAACTAAACCATGAACGTACTCTATAACTAAGGTGAAAGATTGTTTTAAATCCTTCCATTAGGCATGAGCATACCATGTCTAAACCATGACATACCATGACTCAACTATTATGATCATGACTCTATCACGATTCTAACAAAACTGACTAAACCATGACTGCATCTTCAAATGGTGGCGGCGGACTATATGAGACTCTTCCGTTAGGGAGACCGTGATCGGGGCCATTGTGATTATAACCGTTCACATGATCAAAGTCCAGTCTGTGTCGACTGTTTGGCGACGTTGGAGAGTGATCCTCACTGGAAGAGCCACGAGATTGTCTGGACGAGGGCCGGGAATGGCGCCTTGCCTCTCTGAAACTGTCTTTCGAGTCTCGTGAATTTTCTCGCTTGTGAGGCGAGGGGCTGATACGCACCCACGGGAGCTGTGCAGGGGGAGGGGGCGGGGCACGCCCGTTGTTGGAAGAGCTTTCACTGTCTCTGGAAGAAGCTTTCTTTACTGCGCTTTTCTGATTCTTGTTACTACGCATGCTGCGCTGACTACGTGTGCTTCGCGTGCTGCTACGTGTTTTGTCTTGTCGGTTCTGGGGTGTGCTTGTTCGTACGGCCACCGTCTCGCTGGGTAATTGCGTCATTGTTGGATCAACCTGATGCAATACGTCGAGTGTGTTGAAATTCGAATGATTGACATTGTCATAATTTTTTCCTGTTCTAAAACTGTTCCTGGCCGGGGACTTGTATCGCATTTTGACATATTCCATCTCATAACTAGTTTGTATCGGTGCTGCAAAGATATGGACATGAAAAATGGATAAGTGATGATTTTTAAAATACAAATTGTACCATTAGAATATACAGAAATGGAAAAAAACCTGTCCTTAAATTACTGAGGGCATAGGAATTCATCTTTTTTACTTATTCATTTGTTGTTTTTTTTTTCACTTACAACACTCTAATGCAAGGAACAATATTTGCTGATAAATTCTTAAATCAAACACAAAGTTAAACCAACCAAAATGCTTTCAGAAAAAAACTCATTTTTATAAATGAATGGTAATTACTTTTTTCATTATGACAAAATGGTAGAACTTTAATGTTGTTTTCATTTAATGTAAGTATTACTTTTTGAAGTTTCATAATTTGATTTACACAGAGAGCCAACTTGAAGGCAAGATACAAACAAAAGAAAAGAGAAAGAATTCCCCTTCACATTTTTTTGCCAAAGAGGCCCCACGAAACCAATCAAATTGACAGTGCTCCACTCATATTCAAAAAACAAATATCTTTACCAGATACCCAAAGATGGAAAGTATGAAAACCAATCAATAAAATTGAAATCACCTCACCTTTACAATAAATATCACTACAACAGTTTCCAAACACAATATCACATCAAGGATTAGTAGTTAACATCCAAAAGCTGAATCTCTCTCTATGTGCTATATACATATAAACACATATAAAACACAGAGGGAGAGAGCCTTTTATATAGCCAAAGGTATACTTAAGTCAACAAAAAGAATCTTATCAAAAAAGCTTTACTTGAACAAACCTGACAAAATACTTTTCAATAAATTGACAAATTTTCTCCGCAGAGAAGGAATGATGATGTAAAGTGCCGTGACAGTCAATCAGCTAACATTAATATCAATTTGCATCAACAACAGTGCCAGTAAACAAACAGTTTCACACCGCCATGCAGACTATACTAACACATTCAAACACTGGTTAGTAATGCATCAAACATATGACATGATTCTAGCTCACTTCATTTCCCTTTGTATTTTTTCAAAATTTCATTTTTTTTTTCATTTTGGGGGATGGGGAGGAGGATAGAGGCATTAGATTATAATAATCATTAGCTTGTTTTTGTTATATAATATCTTTTGAAAATGCATAAGGGGTACAAGATATTTTGGCAGCAATATGTCATAAATTTTTCTTAAGGCGTGTGGGAAGGGGATTGGGGCAGATGAGAGAAATAAACATCTCTATATTTTCAGGGGTAGCATTTCAGGGGTTATAAATGTCATTCTATCAGTTTCTTCATAATACTGTACAATGAAATTTCCCAAGGAGGTAATTTTCACTTCCATTTGCCTGTTTCAAAAGTTCTGGAGGGATTTTGATGATATTTGAAGGATAAGGCAGAAATGTGCTAACTAAAATGTAATTTGCTTTTGGTGATTATCCATTAATTAATGAATGGATGATTATTAGTTAACTATTTGTCTTGGCAGATGTCTGCACTCTCTGAATGGTTTTCCAGTTCATATATATCAGATTTTTTTCTTCTTATCTAAAAGTTGGCAGAATGTCCCAATAAATACATAAACAGTACCTATTTTCAATTTTTTGGGTTGATATTAAACTTACTGAACTCAATGTGCTTTGGTGTGGCACTTTTCAATGATTTTGCAAATTACTGATTTCTGTACATAATGAAACCAAATTTTACCCGATAAAATTTTACTCATGCTGAAATTACATATATAACTTAAATGGATAATAACTCTTTGTATGAGATCTATATTTTACAATTAAAACATTGTGAATAACTCATAGAAATATATTCTGTTTTACCACAAAAAACGGGACTTATAGCTATTATTCTGATATCTGAGCTTGTCTTTAGACCACGTGACCTCCATTGATGGCTATACTCTGTTAAAATCTCTTAAGAGATTTTAACAAAAAACCAAACTTTTTAGAAAAAAAACAGGGACTAACTTTGAATGTAAAAATGGATTTAATAACTATTGGTTAGTATGGGAAAATTGTTGTTTACTCCAGGAAAATTCATTTTTTGGCCGAAACGAAGAGTTATTATCCCTTTAAATAAATCATTGGTCTTTGCTCTTCTGTTCAGTTTATTTTGTACTTTTTCCAAATCCTTCATTTGCTTCAAGCAACCCTAATTCATTGAACCGTCTTAATTTGAAAGAAAAAGAGGAATAAACAAATAACCCTTGTTCACAATTTACCATAATGATAAGGACTTATGCAATCATGGAAGAGCTCATTCTACACCCTGGGTTTTTAGGCTCTGACGGTGCCATTTTGTAATCCAGACCCTCTATACCCACAGGGTGTCATTATGTTACCCAGCAGTGGTTTTCACATAATGACGTTAGCCTTAAAATTGAGTCTAAACTTTAAGACCAAAAATTAAGTCTACTTCTGTCAAGATAAACTTATAGTTGTTGACTATAAATAACCCAGTGGTAGTTTTCACATGATGACTTTAGCCCAAATATTGGGCTTAAACTTTTAAACCAAGTCTACTTCTGTCAAAATAAATCCATATAGTATTTCACTGTTGTTGTAAAACAGGTAAAGGTATGTAAAATTGGTCTTGCCTTTCTTGTCATAAAATGTGCAAAATTTCAATAATTCAATTGGACATGCTGCTATTTAGAACAATTTTTTAGCTGAAGTCCTTTCGAGAAACAAGACCCATTTCAAAATATAAGTTTGGGTCATTAACCACTAATATGAGGCACAAGACCATTTGATTTGGCAAAAGACAAGTATAAAATTGGAATTTTTAAGATCACTGTTCAATTATACGATTAAGAAATTGTGGCTGTTGTTTTAGATATTTCTATCATCCAGTGATTTCATTTTGGACTTGTTCATTTTGATTTGGTCTAGTAGTTTTTCAAGACTGACTAGTTTACTGCAAGGGTTGAGGCACTGACCATAATAATAAAAATAATAATAATAATAATAATAATAGTTTCAAGTAAATCACAAAAAATAAATAAAATAATCAGCACAGCAGTTTTCAATACTTTCAAGTCTAAAGCATCAAACAAACCATTGAAGATGTTTTCTGGGCTGTTATTAAACAACACTGGTTTTCTTGCTGAAATAAAAATAATTTGTGCTGAACGAAAAAATTTATGAAACATTTCATTCTTGGGAGTAAAAAAAAACACTACAAACTGTGATTGTTGTTTTTCATGAGATAACTTTATGAAGCCCATGAGATTTAATATAACAATTAACTCTTTGATACGTGTGAAGGATGTTCTGAGTGTGAGAGAGAGAAAAATTCATCAATATGAACTTCTGAGGGGGAACAAAATTACAAATATGTAAACACACTCATATGTCTTCCATTTGACTTGTAAGCAATTCAGATCATAGTGTAGCCTAATGCTTGCGACAGCTGAAATGGCTTGGCTATAACTTAATATCAAGTGCCTGAAGTGTTATTATTTTCTTTTCTTTCAAGATGTCCTTTTTCTTTTTTGGCACCAATCAACTACAAGTAATAAATACTTTTGCATTGGCTTTTGTAATATCAGAAAGAACTGGATATTAAAACTGAAAGTGATATCCTATTGCGTCAGGGAAGGAAATTACTTTCAATATTAAAAACACCAGAATGTAAAAAGATAATTTTAAGTGGAAAATGGAACTTTTTGGACAAACTTCTGGGACTGAACATAGTTCAATGTAGGACCTTAAAAAAGGTTTGTGATATGTATTCCTTTTCTTATAACAACTAACTCATCTCTAAGCTACTGAAACAAGCACAAAGCTACTAAAACATGCTTACGATGCCCAACTTCTTATGTCAAAACAAAATATGAAAAGTTGGCAAAAAAAAAAAAAAAAAAAAAAAACATACAACTTAAATCATATTTTTGGGTAAAGTATCATTGATCAATTACTGTATATTTTCAATACTTTTGGCTTGTATTTGATAATTTTTGGTGTAAAAAATCTTTTCAAAAAAAGTGCATTCTTTATTTAGTGTGGAATAACTAAGACATATCTACCTAATATACACTTTCACCTTATATGCATCTATTCCAAAATCTATGCAAAATATATGCCTGAAGTAATAGTATAAAATCTACTAAATGTGGAAAGCAATGGTCTAATTATTTGTGCAAAAAATGGACCCAGAAACTTCACAATATATCTTAAATGTTTAATAGCAATTGAGGGATAAATAAGATCATGACTTAATTCTGTAAAAAAAAGTGTTTACAGGGAAACCATCACCATGGTAACAAATGCAAGCCTATAAGGTGCCAGAGATATGATCTCTGACCTCAGATGATATAAAAATTTGAAAGCAAGCCCCATATCTCTCCAAGTAATGTATAATTTATCTGAAATTCATGGCAGCTTGGCTTTAAAATTATGGATATTATGGTTCACATAAAAGCTTCTGCTTTACAGATTTCATCGTTTCATTTGCAAGAAAAAACTCAACTGCAATCAACTATGCAAGCAGAAATCTTGTTGGATGTCTTTTATATTTGAAAGGTCTGCACACTTCTAGGTAGCTAAAGCAGGGAGCCATGCTAATAGATGCCATCTAACCATCTGTAGAGAAAGCTTTAGACCAGAAGAATATGAAAAAGTCAATTCATCTTGAACTTGGCTGATCCCGTTGCCATGGTAACTTTGTGCAACCACAAAAACCACAAAAATACACAACTGTGCTTTGAAATGAAAACCAAATCTCCATGGAAACAAGAAAGAAGCTGCTCTAAACTAAACCTCTTTCTGAGATCAACTTTTTTTTCTGCTTAGCAACCACATAGTTTCTAAGCAACAATACTGCCATGCAACTAAATATGAGCACCATCATCAGAAACCAGGTGGTTGCTATGGTGATTAATTCAACAGCAAGGCAACAAATAATTTGTAAATAATTTTACAGCTAAAAATTACTCAGCAGTAAAGGAACACAATTAATAATAGAGTGAACTCTTTAATGCTGAGCAATTTTAGCCTGTCACTAGGCAACCAAAACTGCAATGGTGAGACATTAGCAACAGCCCTGTTGCTAGGCAACCAAAAGGAATACATACACATACATAGGTTGGAGCTGCATATGTGAGCTCTTCGCGGGGGACTGATATGCAGAATACGTATCAAACCCTCCGATAAAGTCAACTGCAAATAGAAAAGTTAATATGGTCCTTTCAGGGCAACAATCCATCACTTAATTATATATTATCCCACCTGCTGTGTTAAAGACATTGTAAACTGTACTACAAAAAATGTTAATTAATTCATAACTTTATAACAAATCAAAACCTTTGAAAAGAGTCAAATTTTGACTTTTATATAACATATATCTATTTAACTTCACATTTTAAATATTAAAACAATTTCAAGGACAAATTTCATTTAATACATTTATTATGTTTCACTTGCTTAACAATAAGTTTGAAGCTATGAAGGCTATTTTTCAGGGCAAAAGTGTTTTTGGTGAGCTTTTTATGAACAGGGGCACAATGCCTTAGGTTTTAAATTACTTGCAAGTCCTTGAAGGGCAAATGTATTGGAAGTGCTATTGGCTTCAAACCCCATTTTACCCAAGAATATTTCTGCCTTTACTTATACACAGTTGCTGACATACATTAAAACAAGGCAGCAAAGCTGTCAAATGTACAGACAAAAAACAGAAAATAAAGATGCAAAAAAGGTCATTTTGTCAATTTTGATGCAATAATAAATAATGCTTATAATAGCACTGTCAGTCAACACTGAATTTTAATCTTGCACAACAGGTAACATGGCCAATAACAGGAGCGGACCCAGAGATATTTTCTGACAGTATTACGAATCTATGTTGATCCATCCTCCATTTTGATGGTCTTCCAACAGAAAAAAATAGATACCAGTCAATATAAACTTAATAACCTGACTGTCTTCCGGAAGACCCAGAAGATGGTCTCAATCCACCCCTTCAATAAGATTACAGTTTCAGGACCATGAGAGTTCAAATTCACATTATGAAAGTCTCAATATTTGAAAAATGATGAAAGTGCATAAAATAATATTACATAATGTTTAAAGACATAAAAAACAATACAACTGCTTATGTAGAAATACAGAAAATGTGCAGAGCCCCAGGCAGATGAGAGCCTGCCTGGGGCTAAAAGTCACAAATGCAAGTGTTTGAGAAAAAATTATAAAGGAAAACAACAAAACTAGAAAAGCACTTTGAGAGTGCAGACCTCTGCCAAGGCAGCAATTGTTGATTATT